CTCTCTCTCTCTCTCTCTCTCTCTCTCTCTCTCTCTCTCTCTCTCTCTCTCTCTCTCTTTCTCTCTCTCATCGCAGATACAAACATACGATAGAGATGATTAAGTATCGGTCTACCATCTACGGTAGCGAAGAACTCCCAATGAAACTTATGATTACAGTTTGTCGATAAAATCCTCGACAAAAGCTCGTATACAACTTTCATCCGACATCGTTTCATAACCGTAATCGAGGACTCTTGTATTCCGCAAAGCACGGACTTTTAATTAAACTTTTAATTGACTCGTTGGCTTAAGCGAATTTTGTTAGTGATACACTTGGCTTATGTAGACGGGTTGAATTTCGCCGTGTACGTACGATAATCATATATTTTCGCAGCACAATTCGCAATATGTAATTGAATAGGCGCGTTTCATTACGACGTAAACGAAATTTCGTCGGAAAATTGATCGCGATTAGTAATGCGGACAATAACTGGCAACCGCAAAGTACGGAAAACTTTTCCAATGTCGCCGGATAATTTACGCAGCTTTGAATATTCAACGTCACCCTTGTTTACGCGCTGCTAATCGTGAAATTGTGTCGTTGAAAGAAGAGCGCACGAATGGTCGTTTCGTTAGTTGATCGATAAAAGTGAAAAAGATGAATCGCGAAAAAAAATTATCGATGGCTGTAGAAATTGGAAAAGGGAAAATGTACCGTCGATTTCTTCGTGATATATTTCACGCTTAGAGTCGTGGGATATATTAACCTTTAGTGACTCGAGCGATGGCTTCTCCTGCGCTATCGCATCGCGTCAAATTCGGAGATCTTTTTTCATTTCGGCAAAGATATTTCCACATAATAATATGTCAAACACACAGCTCTGATACTCTCCGTAGAAGAGAAGTGGTTTAAGTGTAGAAAGATGACATTATTAGCGTGCCGTATCGCTTCGAATAATATGTGTTGTAATGTGATGTAAATTTGGTTGTAATGCAAATCTTGTTGTAATGCAAACGCTGAATTGACGTAACACGCGAATTTTCGACGGTTATTCGGTTGGCTAATGGTATTATGTTCGATATCTGATGCTGATCGGCTCATGCGTGTATGCCTCCGCGTCATTGGTCCCAAAAGCACAATACTCGAGATCACAATGACGATCGAAATTACGTTCGGAATCGTGTAAATGTTCTGTGCAATGTTGCTTTGAACCGCGATAATCGCAGCGAAGTCTCAATGACGCAAATAAGATCGCTTCGTTTCTACACCTTTTACCAGTATTTTCGCGAGAGTCGCATAATCGACGAAGCCTCGGGTTAGGTGAGAAACGGGGTGTAAAAGAAAAAGGAAAGGAGTAAATACCGCTTTGACGTGTTTTACTCCATTACGTTTAAAGCTTTCCATGGGAGTCTCTTCTGACCTATGGATTTTTCCTGACAGTATTTTCTTATTATTTGTCGTGCGACGAAACGTTTGCACGTGATAAAAGACGAATGTTCTTATCTTGCTACCAAGAGAGATTTCCTGTTGACACAAGCACATACGTGTCGAAAATTAATAATACACATATTTCCAAATACATCTGATCTCGTAATAAAAATGAAGAGAGACGTTAAACTTATACACACTTTTGATAAGGCGACACGATTATCATTGGAGAACAAGTTCTATGGTCGACATATTAAATAGGGAAGAGTTGCCGAAATTGCACTTGATTAATCTGATATATTTTTATGCTTGTAGCACGCACAAAATAAGATGTAATTTGAAAAATTTTTGCTCATATTCTCATTGCTTATATATTTCTCATTTTTTCACCGTTAAATATTGTTCATATTCAATAATAATAAATAAATTGATAAGGTACAATTTTTAGCAAGGAAGCCGGTACAATTTCAGGGCAAATCTCCCTTAAATATTATTTCTTTAAAAAAATGTTGAAAAAATCGCTGAATCTATTGCGTCTTGCAATAGTAATTAATAGTTATTATAGATAAGGACCAAACTTTGGAAATAATTCTAAACTATTTCGAATAATAGATAATAACAAATCCTCATGTATGTGTTTATATTGGAGAATAACAATTTAAGAGCGTGGAAACAGAAATTTTTACACGCGTGTAAAAAATAAAATTGCTTTTTTCAGTTTAAGCAAATAATATGCAAAATAAGCATTATCGATAGGCTCTGCCCGACTTGCTAGCTCAATTATATTTATACCATAACGACGACGCGTGCGTGTAAATTTCATGTACATGAATTCAACAAATCGACTTATTTGATAACTGCATTTGTTACCGGCCAAAAGTGTCGAATTTTCGGTTGTTGACGCATAACGAAACATTAAACGATGGAATTTTCAATGCCGCGAACACATTGACCAAAAGCAGTTAGCATGCATCAATTATAAAGCAAACGAAACGCAATATTCGTAACGCACGGCCACAATGCTTTTTCTGCTCTCCTGATGGAAGAGCATTAACTGTCGACGAAACTGAACAAGTGCAATAGTATGAACATTAATTAACAGCGTATCACGTTACACCAAAATACATTTGTTCAATATGGCCTGTTGGAATTAAACGCGTGATTTTTTTTGCGCAAAATTACTTTTATTTTTAAGCAATAATTATCCACAACTATGTGCAGAAATAAAGCGCGCGAAAGCAATCGTGATTCCTTGTATCGCAAAGTTGCATAATGTTGCAATTATGTGTAGTGGTGTGTGACGATACTTGTACGAAATAATTGACATTAAGTGGACAGTAGATAGATGGGATATAATAACGTCCAAGAGAGATAATTACGTACAAGCATTGCTCGGAGCTGCTCTGCATTATCTCAACTGCATTATACAGAGATTCTTATTGACATGCTAATGAAGAAGTTCAAAGTTCCAAATATAGTCGGCAAAGAAAAATACGCGCACGAATGGAAAACTCTGAGAAATATTCAGGCATTTCATTTCTACATTTTCCGCCCTGAAATTACTAACAATCGTTTGTTATTTAACAATACGCGCGAGTCACGATGAAATTTCATTTTGACTAATCATAAATATTATATCGGCACAACGGAATATTCCATCGTATCATATAATCGTATAATGACATATTCTGGATCTAATGAATTTCGATAAAACGGCTACACACAGTTATTTAATGAGCGAGTATCTTTCGGAAGTTGTGTGTGTGTGTGTGTGTGTGTGTGTATGTGTGTGTGAGAGAGAGAGAGAGCGACAGGACAAGAGAGATATTGAGAATTAGCACAAGCCGATTAATAAGAAACTCCGGCGCAATTGCGGCCGAATGGCATTACGCGAAACGGAACATACGGTTATTTCGCGTAAACGATTAGTGATGCGATCTTTGAATATGTGTATCCTTCAAGAGAAACTGCGATCGAACTGAAACCGCTAAAACGGCTGCGTGTCGCCGTTACGATAATTCTTTGTAGAAATACATAAGACGGCACGACTTTAGAATGACGACGCGTTAATTGTAAGTATGAATATATATACATATTTATATATGCATACACAATATTCATCACAATCGAAGACGTACCACGTTTAAAAATCAAATGAGCACGCACATGCGAAAAAACTTGCGCAATCCGCGATGTAATAAATAATAATAAAAAGAGAAGGAAGGTACAACAGTTGTTATGACAGAGTAAGATGTTCAGAATAACATTCAGACGTAATACAGGTATATACACATACACACACAAACGACAGCAATGAACGGCAAAGTAGAAATACCATATCGCGAAGATACTGAGCCTCGATTGAACAACTCATTAAATTAATGTTCGTTGGAGAGACCGTGATTAAGAAACAATTTAGCACAATATCGTTCACGCGGAAACAGCGATTAGACATTAAATTGCGCGAGCGCCATTAACACGATGGAAGAAGAAATGCATTGGCTACGCTGTGAGTGACAAGCATTAATAACAACACAGTCGAACGGAAGTTCAACGTCATGACTTACTCTGAAATCTACATTGACAGAAAAATTTTATAAAATAAAAAAAATATATTTTTTTTTATATCAAATTTGCTGATCGAAATAACTTTATTTCGTTTAAAAAAATATTTTTTAATATAAAATAATTTACGAATTTAATCAAATAACAATGACTTACCTGAAATTAAATATAAAGTTTTTTAAACCAATGAAATATGCGCTTAAAAATAAAAAAGATATATATTACAATTTAATAAACCGATTGTCTTTAAATAAACAACTGAAAACAATGAAATTTCTTTTTAATTTGAAATAAATTTGCTTGTTTACATATAATGTATGAATTGGTTGATATTGATTATTAATAATATAAACATATTATTAAAAGAACAGTTACAATATAAGGAATTGTTTATTAATAATAAAAAATATATCGTTCAAAGTACAGTTACAATATAAAAAAGATGTTTTCAGCAAATTTGTTATAAAAAAAATATATATTTTTTATATTACGAAATTTTTCTTTAGAAAAATAAGTAAAAATGAAAGAATATTATCGTATGAAAGAATATTAAAATTAAGTCATTTTATTAACTCCGTAACTGTCGTATGAGCGCGGGGCTAACAAAATTTTTCATTTAAAAACTGTATAAAAATGGCATAGAATTTTGCCTTAGAACTTCGTGACTTTTCATGTACAACCTTCTAGATTACATTGCCGTCAAATATTTTTTGACTGCATTGACCAAATTTTTAATAATACATTTTAAAAGAACTCGCTTCGACAAATCTGATTGTGTGAGCATTGCTCACACGAGATGGTTAGCGCGGCAAACACATGCGCGTCCGCGTAGGAACGTTGTTGTCGGATTTATCCTTCGTGCTAGCGATTTTCAATATTTCAAACAATTACAGATTACAACTTTTTGAAACTTTTATCTCTATTTTATTTTGGTTGTATTTATTGTATTTTGGTTGTATAATTTTGTTGCAAACGTTTAGACTTATTCACATATATATAACAAAATGCAACGTATAAGTATATGTAGAAGTGACATGGCAAAGTAACACAAACACAACTTCACACATACAGACGCGGCGCGGAGCCGGCACGAAAGTTACGGCATTCATTTGGCTAAGGAAAGGTATAGAGTGTTAAATCATATTAATAAAGTGTGCATTTTTATTGCATATTGAGAGTATTAAATCATATTATAGAGTGTTAAATCGTATTATCAAAAACTTATATTACTATGTTAATTATAACACATATAGACAAAATATAAGACTTTTATATCGATCAAAGAAGTGTCGCAGTGTCTAAAGCAACAGACTCATAATCCAGAGATGCCTCCAAAGGTCCAAGTTCTAGACCCACCAGTGCCAGTGAAAATTTTTAAATGTGATGTAACGTTGGAATCAAGTAATCTAAAATTTTTTCAAGTAAAATCAGCAAACATATACCTTAGGGCATATACTTAAAGAATTCATTGTGCTATCTTGAGTATATTATTAGTCTAAAATACTTGTTATTTGAGATAAGAAAATAATTTTTTTCTTTCAAAAAAATACTTGTCTTGCTTAAAAAAATATTTTATTTTTTAAAGAAATTATTTATTATTATTAAAATTACAATATTTTGATTTAAAAAAGATTTCTTGAAATTAAAACCTAAAATTTTTTTAAATTAAATATTAAAAGATATTGAAATAAGTAATAAGTAATAAGTTTTAATTCAAATAATATTTTTTTTAAATCATTATATTTTTCTTTCAGTGTACATGATTAATTCCATGCTCGCATTCAGTCGCAACATCGATATCTATCGTTCGCATAGAGCTAATGGAAGTCTCAACCTAATTACAGATACAGTAACCTAGTAGATCACAGCTAAACTTCCGACCGTGACATTTGATTCGTTGTGCTATTAATCTTTGCTCTCGTTGACGTCACTCATGGGCATTTCTGAAATCACTGAGAATCATGAGCGCATTAGCGATGTTTATGTATGATCGGTTCCGATTAATAATAATAATTCATTAAAAAAAAAAACAACGAGAGGGAGCATGAGGCATGATTGAGGATCATTAAACCGGGCGACCACCTGACGCGAATCGTAGAGACAGAAAATATTAACGAGTATTTACAAATTGTTGCAGTCGCGGTCGTTATAGCGTTCTTTATCTGTTGGGCGCCGTTTCACGTGCAACGATTGGTCGCGATATACGGGACCAATACGGAGGATCACCTGACGTCGAACGGTCCGTGGATGGAATTCCTTTACCTCCTGATGACCTATGTGTCGGGTATTCTCTATTACGTGTCCACAACGATCAATCCGATTCTTTACAACATCATGTCGAACAAATTTCGTATGGCGTTCATGGTGAGCGACACAAAATAATCTCGAGTAGTTCTGATGAGTAACGCTCGACTTGACATGTTCCAGGAAACATTGTCCGGAAGCTGCAACTTCCCCGGATTGCCAACGCGTCACGAGCAACGATCCTACTCCAGTCTGTCCCGATCCCAGCAACGCACAATCGGCGCTTACAATTCGAGGACAGCGGAAATCAGCCGGGGATCCGGCATGATGGTGGACAGTATGGACGGTTCAGGGAATTCCGGCCATGAGGCCGCGAGCCAGAAGCAAGCTGAAAAAGATGAGCAGCTAGAGTCCGGCGCTCCTAGCAACGGACATCGTAAGCTACAGGAGATTGGCGGTAAGGGTCGATCGATCCGCAGGAATCAGGACTCCGTTGCTCCGAAGCCGACAACGAGCGCAAGGTACAAGACCGCCGCGTCCAATACCGACAGTTCCAACAAGAAATGGTGGAGGCTACTCAAATGGCTGCCGGGACTAAAAGTACTCCAGTTCCCCGGCAGGCTAGCGATAGCCGAAGATCGTGCGCTCGACCAGTCCGCCAGTCGTCGTGAGGAACTGCCCATGACGATGTGGAACATGTGCGACGATCACCGACCCGTATGAGACGCGGCCGTGTGAGATCTTGGAGAAGACCCGCGTCTTCTGTCGACGATAAGACTAACGATTGTCGCCTGATTGAAGACCTACGAACATCACATGACTGACGAACGTAGTTTGAAGGAGTCTTGGAGAGTCAAAGGGACTGGGGGTGGATTCCGACGTCTGCCGACACGACGATGTCGGTGATTGTTGAAAGTTTGAGACTGGATATCTAAGAGAAGGGACACAGAAAGAGAAAGAGCAATGTGTACCATGTATATACCGCTAAGGGATATATCCGTCGAAGAGAAGAAGAAATCTCAAAGAAGACTGAATAACAGGCGATAATTCGACTCGCGAGGCTCGTAGAGAAATTAATATTAGAGGAATTTTCAGCATGTCCAAGAAACAGAAGAAACGAGAATCTGTCAAATCGATCCGCTGTCGGTTAGACCAGAGCGAATACTCGAAGTTTCTCACTGATGACTGCCGTGCGCTTCAAATGCACTAGGCGAAATCGATCAAACTCGAAAGAGAACGGAACGTCGAAAGATCAAACGCATGTCAGAAATAGTCTAACGACTTTACAAATTGAACAGTATATCACGATTTGTCTCATAAAGCATCCCGCAATACAGTTTCCTCGAATATACACTCATTGATCACTGAGAGAGATTTTCTTTTATATTTCCTATTCGATTCGTACTAAATAACATAAACATTTCGCGCGAGTCATCCTTTTACGAGTTTTTATATTCCTAATATTAAAGAACTCAGTCTTTAAGAGTATCTAAAGAATATATATATATATATATATATATATATATATATATATATATATATATATAAAGAAGATATTCGCAGAAACAATGTGAAATCGAGAGCAGAAATGCTCTTAATATTTCCTCTTATATTTTGCTGTGTATTTTTACTTCATCTCTCTGTTTGTCCTTTTATTTCCTTTTTGGGAAATAGAAATCGCTTTGTAATGAAACGTTTCATTCCCTCGAGTAGTGTTTCACTCGGAAAATGTCAAAGTGCCAAATGCTTTTATTGAGTCCGTAAATATTTGCGAGATACGTACATATACATAATTATCATAAGATAATTATCACAAGATAATAACGCTTGACACACCGTCAAGCGAAGCTTTAACAATTAAACTGATTAAAATGAATGACATGTACGTATGTGTAATACACGCATTGAAAATAAGCTATAAGGTGATTATAATGTGGATTATTTCGAGTAACAAAATTTCACACGATGAACGACGATTAAATGGATGCTTACTCGAGAAAAACGTACTGCGTGTGCATGCTTTTGATATCTCGTGCAACAACTTGCACGAAATGTCATGCGATATTTTGTTTCAGAGAACGTAAAATGTTGTAAAGTATACAATATAACGTCGCTACAACGACTCCTCTCACAAATTTCTCTCTCTCTTTCTCTCATTCGCTCGCTTCCTCCTTCCTTTCCTCCCTTCTTTCTTCCTTTTTTTGATTTGAACAATGTAATATTATTTAGAATCGTCAATTCTGTAAAATACTCACTATTTATTTTCATCCACGTATCTTACTCGATATTGCTGTCGTTGTTATTGTTTAATATTTTTGATAATTACACACGAGATATGTCTGTAATCATGAATTCATTCGATCCTTTATTTTCTTTTTCTCTCAAAATCAGCCGCGAACTTTTCCATTTGATAAAAAAAAGGAATGATATAATATTTATATGTACCATATGTGTACGCGTGCGCATGCGCTTTATAATTCATAAATAGTGTGCTTCATAAATAGGACAATATTTTTGTCTTTGATAATTATTTCGGCAATTCTTGCAAAATCATATAACTCAAGTTAAATTTCTTTAATACTTTGACAGTTGAGCAGAAGTATGTGTTGATGACAAATAATTCTCCGAAAGTCGAAGTTTCGAAAAAATCGTCTGAAAATAGACTCCGCAATGCGTTTCATCTTTGCGGGATATTTCTGGGACAGACGACGCATCGTTGCAACTGAACGATCAAGTAATAAAAATAGACTGACAAAATATACGTATGCATGAGGTTATAAGCGTATTAAGTTTATGTCAAATATATTTTTAGTCATCATAAGTCATAATTCGCAGTGGAGTTGATTGTAAGCTATTTCTCCGAATATTTTCAACAACGTACCGTTATTTGCAAAGATTACTGTAGCGTGTAATCTCTTCGCGACTAGAAAAGACGAATAAAAGTCAAGCACTGTAAAACTATCGATAAAGAAATACAATCATAGATCAGAGAATCATACATATATTTATTTGTTTATGTAACAATGTCGGACATAGTATATAAAGATGTACAATACATAATATAAAATGACTTACGGAAAATAAATACAAAATATATAAACCGATAAAAGAAATGAGTGGAGAATATTAATAAGATCGACATTGTATGGAGACATAGTGATATAATTATTTTCTATTTTATTAGAGATTCAATTAGGATATCCGAAGAAATGAAATTCAAGATGAAAGATTTCAATTCATCCAATTATATATCAAATAACGAAAGCGTCGAATAAGTTGCGAAAAAGTTTATGTATACTAAGGGCCAACAACTTTTTTTTTTGGTGTGGTAATAATATGAAAAATAACTACCGCATAGAAATATGTGAAATAAATAACAAGAGCGACCATCATACAATCGTCCACATTGATGAGTACCAGATGCATCTGCTGCATATTGCAAAAGGTAAATATAATTCTCTACGCGAAGAAATCAAGTTTCAGTCGATATTCATCAACAAAAAAGACGTTTATCAAAGTGCCTATTCAACGATAGAGGAAAAATAGTATATGAAAAAAAGTAACAAGGTCTCAAAGTCTCTCTATCGTCGTTTGCATATATTTTACAAATCATACTGAATATGTAATTCACATATCGCGCCCCGATTTGTGTACGATTATAAAGTATGGTCTCTCGCGCATTGATTGTAATTCATCTAGACGTGCCCGCGTAAAGAGCGCGGTGCATAGTAAATACATATATAAATATTTAAATAATGCGTCTTGACATATTTTTATATATCCAACATGAATATTGCATACATGTGTGTGTGTGTGTGTGTGTGTGTGGACACACATACACACATACATATATATATATATATATATATATATATATATATATATATATATATATATATATATATATATAGAGAGAGATCTGACATTAAATAATAATAATAATAACAATCATGTACATCAATATGATAGTAAGCGTACGGCATAAACTTACAAATGCAGGAATGTATAATCCGCAAGAGAGAGCGAGAGAAAGAGAGAGAGAGAGAGAGAAAGAGATAAATGCGGAAACAATTATTGTTCTGTGACAGTCTGCTCTTGCCAAGCGCAACGAGATTTTTTACGGCATACTCTCGAGACAATTCTTGACGTGCTGCCATGCTTGGAGACCCTGTTGCAAAAAAAAAAATAATGCGGGATCGATCACCGCCATATTGTATTGTTACAGGCCATATTGTAAGTTATACAGGTGTATGAATTAAAATAATACCGACCTTTCTAGCCAGTTTAAACTGCAATACGCAATAAGCGGCCAAAGTCTCCTTCAAGTCGACAACCTTTTGGTGCTGAAATCTTTCGATATCCATCATGGCTTTGATTGAGAAAGATCTGCATGAACAATTCATCGAATGATAAATTATAGTTAGTGTCGACTAGTCAATTAGGAATATCAAGTGGGATGGACTTACTTCAAGTCTTCGTCGACTTGTTTCACTGTCTCGTCGTGCTGGGCGATTCGCTGTTCCAATTGTAGAATCTTCAGCTCGCGAACTTCCTCGGTATCCACGGAGCCGAATAAACGCGACATCAGACCGGCTTTACCTTGAAAACACAGGATACTCGAGATATTTTGCTTACAATCATTTCCACGTATTGTAAGTTATTTAAGATGCGATACCTTGCATGACCTTATCTTTCTGATCAAACGCGGTAGTTAAAGCATCATGGGCTTCGTCCTTGGCCAATTGCAGAGCTTCTCTACGTTTAACCACAGCTTGCAAGGCAGACGCACCGAACAACCACTCCTTCAGCTGATCGGCTATAAGCTCTTCCTCCTCAAGGGTAGTATCTATCGTTGCCGCTAATGAGTCCAAGTAGTGTCCCGATTTCTAAGAAAACAGGCTGTAATTGCAATCTTTATACTTAGGCTGCGTTTTGTTTTTATTCTTTTTCTTTTTCACTTTTCTCTCTCTCTCTCTTTTTTTTTATCAAGTCGTGTGTTATACTCCCTACACCAGGTTCGATATTAATGGAGAGAATTTTGGTGCTTTCGCCAATCGATATGCCGCTATTTGTACAGCAAAGATACCTGCAATCCATCGCCCATTTCTCTCTCTATGGCACTCCATTCGCTAAAGACGCGACCATAATTCGCGTGTAACTTGTACAGACTGTGTTGCTTCTCGACGAGACGCGCGCGCACTCGCAGCAGATTGCATAAATTATTCTGCAAAACAACCGCGCCAATAATATTGGGTGCTTGTAATCAGAGAAGAGATTATGTCGGCAGGTAGGCTGACATTACTCGCTTAATGATCGTACAAACTCGAGTTGCGTGTCGTTTTCGCAGCGCCGTGCTCATCCGTTATAAATCTTACCGTACCTGAAGCTCAATTCCATAATTCTTTATAGTCTCGAAACGTTTGTCCGGCTTTCTTAGTCGTACCGCTACACTAAGCGCTTTCAGTTTCGATTCTGCAATCTGCAGATACCCCGTTTCTTTCACACTCTCTCTCCAACCGTCCTTCTGCTGAAGAAATCCCATAAAGTGTTGATCGCGCGACAGTATGGGGTGCGATGCCACTCTAATAAGAAAATTCTGCAGAAGAATATTCTTACAACCTTTGCTGTTGATCGTATAATGCATATTACGTCTATAATTGCACACCGAAGACATACCTCGAGACCAGCTCTTCTGCGATCAACAAAGTCTGGATCGAACGTATCGGTTGTTACTTTTTGCCATGCATAGAGAACTTTCTTCTCTGGTAGCGGCGGTAGTACGATATAAGGATAAGAGATCTCCAAATACGCACGAAGTAATTCGAACTCGGTATATCGTCGCCATAATGAACTTATTCTAGTTAGCGCGTTTTTGAAATCTGCATCAGTGACTCTATAATGAGGAGAAAACAAAAAGAAGAAAAAGAAAGAAAAGATAATAGAGACGAGAGAAAGAGAAAGTTTGTAAACATTTTATTTATGTATGATTTTTTATTCTATTGTGAGTTTCACTTAAATTACTCGTGTCTACATCATCGCGGTGAATAGTTTGTGCCCCGTATTTAATTAATATCTTGTCACTCACTTAGTTTCAATGAGGTATACCGTGTAGAATTCTCTTAGATTAAGCGCTTTATTTGCTCTTTTCTCAGCTTCGACTATCGAAATCTCCATGTGATCGAGCAGGCAATCCTGAAATATATCGCGATTAAGCCCCAATCTCCAAAATCCAATTTCTCAGATTTGAAAGACACGCCGTCGCTTGATTAATATTTCTTCGTCACTCACAGAGTATATCGCCGGCACGAACCATCGTATACAAACAACGATACACGCGACAGCTGTCCCCGCCAGCAAGAATGACACAGATGTGTAAGCTAGTGAGACTCAAGTCAGTGACACCTTCCGCGTTTGAGAGACGCTGCGCGGTATTCCAATAATCGCTGCGCGACACACACATTCGCCCGCTCGCGACTTAGTTTTAATTATAACGATTAATCTACCGCATTCCGATCCCCAAAGCGTCACTCGCGCGTGTCACTTGGTTTTTCAAAAGCTGGTTTTCGACTAACAAACTATTATTACGGCGTCACGCTAGCTCCGGCGACCTCGAACCGCAGACCACGAACAAGAGAGAACGAAACGTATCGATTTGCAAGATGAAACATCGAGCTCCTTTACCTCTTTCCGCGTCTCGACGGCGGTCATATTGGCGTTAGCCTCCCTCTGATAGTTGCCGTTCTGAAAAACCTCTTCCATGATTATCGACGATGCGCGCACCTGCAAGATTTTTTAGCCAACGAGAAAGCCACTTGCTGCTCGCATCACGTCGCTCGACTTAGTCGGCGACACGCTATCACACATGCGACCTGCGACCAGCACGGTCGTATCGACACTGCCGCGTCACAGGGTTTGCATCGTACTACGATAAAATCCCTACGACAAGAATGGATCCCAATACAAACGGCGTTTGTCGAGTAAGACAGGTAACAAGGCGTGTTTCTTCGGCAAAACGGTTAGTTTTCACGAGGCGCGCTCACTAGATGCTGCGCTAAATTTCCCTATGCTCAAATAACAGCCAAGCAAATAACGAAACAAAATGTACAGAATAGCTGCGTTCAGCATTGTAAATCGAAGACGTAGGATTGCTCTTTTACCTCGAAAATGCACAAAAGTGAGAGAGATACGAGATCTTTTTTATTTCTATAAATCTTCGAGATGAAAAAGCAATCTGACGTTTTCGATTTACAATGCCGAACGCAGCTATTATGTTTCATTAGTCGATCTTATTTTTATCCCAATTGAAGAGATCGCTATCGCAACCGTCATCTTATGATCATATGCAAATGCGTCACGTCGCACTGATATATACATATATACAGTCTGTTTGATAACCCATATAGCACAGAAAGGTTGCAGGAACATTGCATAGATATTACACGGAAACATTGTAACATTCCATATATGTTGCGAAACGTTGATGCAACGTTGCCGCAAGGTTGCAGCAATGTTGAAATGTCCGCCATTAGAAACGTTACAATAAAACATTATAGCAACGTTACGGTGGAATGTAATATAATAGTTGCATTGAGCAGAAGAAGCAGCTTTCCATTGTTGGCAACGCATAATAAAGTTAAACTGCGTTTTTTTATTAAATATTTTTATTAAATAGGTGGCACGTTATATGGTTTGTTCTTTTTAGTTGACTTGACCGTACTAGTGCAAAAAATGTACACCTTACTGAAAAATTTCTATTGAGATCACAATTGAATTTCTAATTGAATTCTCAGTTGAATTCTCAATTGAATTCTCAGTCGAAGTTTCCGCAAAATTTCGCATGTAAGATCTCAAATGAAATATTTATGTGATATCTGATGGAAATAATCCATTGAAAATATAATGAACTTTTGCTGAAATGCTCTTGAAAAGTGCATTCACAATTTTGACCCAATTTCATTAAAATTTCATTATAATTTCATTAATATTTCGATAATATTTCATTAAAAATATAGAAAAATTCAGTGAAAAATCATTATTAATTAAAATAGATTGAGAAAAGTATAATGAAGTATTATTTTGTCTAAATAATAAAAAAAAACTGGCATTTCATATTTTGTGTCGTTTCATTTATTCGTGAGATTCGCGTGGGATTCGATCTCGTGTCACACGGTCACCCATTTTTAGATGACCATGCGCTGTTCAATACCTAACTTCAACGATCGTACTGGAACTAGTAATGCCAATGCGCTGTAACGATATCGTGGTAGATACAAAAAAAGAGAGAAAGAAGAAATATTCTCTCTCTTTTGCGAGCACGTTGTATGTTTAAATTTAATTAGTTATACAACATTGTGATTGTTGTTACGTCCTTTGAAACATTTACCGACAAATATGTCATTACATTTTTAAACGCTATAAGAGTATATTGTAAATACAATCCACCAAGTATTGTTACAGCGTATTGGCATCATCAGTTCCCGTACGATCGTTGAGCATTCAACAATATAATTATCTAAAGATGGGTGACGATCTGACATGGAATCGAGAATCCACGCGAATCTCACGAATAAATAAAACGACATAAAATATGAAATGCCAGTTTTTTTTGTTATTTAGACAAAATAATACTTCATTTTTCACTAAATGAAATTATGTAATATTATTAAGATATTGCAATATTATTGTGACTTACCAGTTTAAAATAACAGTTTGAAAATTATTAATTAATATTAATATTAATATTAATATTAATTAATAATTTTCAAACCGTTATTTTAAACTCGTAAGTTTAATTGTAACTTCCGTCACATTTATGAATAGTATAAACAGAATTCTTGTAAATAAATTAGGATACATATTATTTTAAATTAGGATTATATTTTACACTTCAGATTTCTCACATGATAGTTTATAATAATAAGTATGATTTTAATAAAATACAAATAATCTTATTACACGTTAAAAAATGTAGATATAATCGTGAGATTTTACGAAATTATTACCTGATGTCGAATATGCGTTCTTTACTTCTTACTCCGGGTGTATATCAGTTGGACACAGTCCAATTGCCCCGTGTCCAACTGATATACACCCGTCCAAGTGCACCGCTCCCTCTTACTCCAGCTTGTTCCTATGGTAAGGCATTGAGTTAGAAGAAGTTGTCATAAACTACAAAAGTACTAGATGGTCGTGCCTATCATAATTTTCGACCCTAGTGGAACTAACCTAACTATGTCGTAAACACCCTTTATATTATCTAGTGACTTTACTAGGCGCATTTTAGATACGCCATGTAACAAAAATGCGCCTAACTACGTCCGTTAGGCGCACTTTCGCAGAGCTACTTTCATACAATGATAATAAGTTAGAAAAGGACAAACGTCCAATCGCTCTGTTCTCGTCTCACTACTGATGAGCGAGACGTAGGCACGAAGCGAGCTAGTGGCGAACTTATCGCAAAGCTAGATCATCTCTCATCAGTTTTGTCTTTCTCACGCTACGTTCTGCCCAAATTTGTAAGGAAAAAGGATTTGAAGGAAACTGGACAATATGAAACAATAAATAAATACGGCAGTTTAAACATGCCGCTCATATTTTTTGCTTATTTCTCGGCAGCCACAAAAGATATCGATGTGATTCAAAGAAAACTACTCCACAATATATCCTGTTGGAATTCAGAGTTTACAATAATACCAATAATACTAATACTATAATAATACTATTAATAAAGGTTCGTGAAATAAGCCGTGGAAGCGTACGTACTTTTAGACGTCGCTGACAGTCATGTTACTACCGATAGCATTTTTCGCACATTTCTTGGCAGTCACTGAAGATATTAAGATGACTCAAAGGGCACTATCTGCCCCATAAATCATCTTATTGGTAATTTATAATAATACGAATAATACCGCAGACCAAACACATCGGTTCACATCTCCGTTTAATAATTTAGCGGGAAAATCTGGTGAGACATGATGAGATATAGTGGATCGGGAGCGTCCCGATTGACTACGGTACGATTGGACACAACCAAATGATGCAAAGAATTATCTAGTGAATTACTAGGTCGAACCAATCATTACAAACTGTGTTCGTATCGTGATCAATTGAGTCCCACCCAACGTAGATCCAACGTTAAGAACGCGACTTTGGGATATTTGAAAATTATTTACAACACTCCCCATATAGCACAGATCTTGCAGCAACATTGCGCGGCAACACTGCTGCAACTTTTAACATTGCTGCAACGTTGCAGCAATATTGTTGCAAGATCTGTGCTGTATAGGTCTGGGCATACTGCTGAGGGAGTGGAATGACACAAACATACATTGTCATCCAGGAGACGATGCAGAACGAAATAAGCATACTTAACGTTGGTTTAAAAAATAGATTATATATAATACGACATAACAAGACATAAAGTATATTAATCAAATAGTATAAATAGAGCATACATAGGGTATATATAAAACATATATAGAGTATAAAAAAACATATATAACATATGGAGAATATATAAATATGACAAGATATATCAGTTTAATATATCATCAAGAAGCAATCTGACGTGAAGGAAGCCTGCCGAGTCGAAATTGGCCATTGTTATGTAAGAATGATCCAATTTTAAAAATTATAAGCTTTTATCAATGGAACTCCATTCATATCTTTTTAAACCAAACAAAAAAAATTCAAGCTTTATAGATGCTTAAAATGAATTAAAAAACAGTTTTTCTATTTTTTACCAGTCGCGTCTTTTTGACGTCGCTGACGTCGCTATATATAATCTTTGTGCATATTTTTCTAAGGATTGAGCTAGTCAGTACTCTTAAAGAAATGGAAATGCTTAACTCGTTGAACTATTGCGAAAATCTCAGAGCTAAATTCTTTGGTTGGATCATTCTTACGTAACTCCGACGAATTGAAAAATTCCAATTCTTACTTTACTTCCCGTCGGACTCAATGCTATTTACGTCTACATGCATGCAATCTACGTAAAGTGACGCTTTGTGTCTACTATATGAGCGTCTAAAATGAGCGCTCACCATTGCGCGTCGTCCCACGGTGTCCAAGGTTCACTAGCCATCCTGTCGCTGCATCTGACACTGCAGTAGTCTTCGCGTCCCACGTTGCCTGGAATTCACTCCCGACCGCGGTGATCTAACGGAGGTCTCACGAAAAATACCGTCTCTTTTAAGGAGTACACTCCAAGTTGCGAATTGCGTATGAAATATCGCGAACTGCGTCTTCGAGGAAATGTCGGCCTTTCGGATAAACGACGAGTATGTGCGACTAATTCAGCAACGGTCCGATCGAGTTGTAGTGTATCGCTTTGATGCGATCGAGTTCCTCAATCGTCGATCAAATATTATCATTATCCATTTATTATACGAGTATGATTACTTCTTTATTCGGTTGTCATTTAATTATTTTTATTGCATATTGGGAAGCAACTCGAGCGTGCCGTTACGACGATTTCCTTACCTCCTCTTGCTGTCGTGTGTAATTAATTGATACTATCGGATATTATTATACGGTTATCGATCAGATATTATTATTATCACCCATTAATTAATCGGATATTATTACTTCTTTATTCGGCTATCATTTAATTATTTTTTATTGCGCATTGAGAAGGAATTCGAGCGTGCCGTTACGACAATTTCTCTCCTTCGCTTTGCTGTCGCGTGTAACTAATTAATACTGAATTATTAAATTACTAATTGATACTAAATTAAATTAAATTTCTGTCACAGAAATCCAACAGAACAGACACAGTCACACGGCTCTAGGGAATGCGATGCCTGGGGGATGTCGCGCCGGAGGATTCGGCTCGGGCCTTTCTGAGTCGGTTCGAAGGTGAGCTTCACTAATTTGTATTTATAATTATATTATAAAATATAATACAAATTGAATACCAAGTCACCATACAACAATTCGGTCGTGATTGGTAATGCAGATCTGCTTTCACCGGTATTATCCGCTTCCTTAAAAACAACAAACATTACGAAAGAACATATTTAGAACGTAAATAGACTGCGCCGCGAGTAAAAACAGTTTGGAGATCACATCTCTAGAAGTTGATTGACTCCACCATTGAAACATGTCACTGATCGTATGGCCTAGAGTTACTCTAAGCAGAGTTTTGCCGCGGTTTTATAAAAATCCTGCGAGAGAGAAGGATATATTTTCAATCTCTCTCTTTGTCTACCTGCGAGAGAGAATTCCCGAATCGAAATTTTGACACTACTTTGACGCTCTTAAAAATAATTTGAGCCTACTTAGATAATCTACAACTTAGGTGAAATCTATTTTGACGATATTGACACTCATTTTCGAATCGAAATTTTGATCCTATGTTGAACCTTGAATTCTACACCAGAATAGGAGCTAAGATAGCAAAGTAGGTTTAATTCTAATTATATAATTTATTCCTACATTGACCCTGATGATGTCTGAAATATATACAACAAATAAAATGTATATTTTGTATGCTATTTGACGTTTCTGTTTCGTTATTTATTAAATTTTTTAAATATTTCTATAAAATATATATATTCTATGTAGGATCTAAAGCTTCAATAGAGATTCGCAACTGAACGTACTTTGCTCCCTAAGATCCTGTTATTATACAACCTATTTTGACGCTGAAGAAAGCGAAAGCGGAAATTTCAGACATCATCAGGGTCAAAGTAGGAGTAAATTATATCATTAGAATTAAACCTACTTTGCTATCTTAGTTTCTACTGCGGTGTAGAATTCAAGGTTCAACATAGGATCAAAATTTCGACTCGGGAAGAACATATTTTCTCTCTCTCTCCCTCTCTCTCTCTCTCTCTCTCTCTCTCTCTCTCTCTCTCTCTCTCTCTC